GAACCATAACCTTTATGAACATGCACCACTACACAAAAATACATTTGTGCACCTGTATCTGCACACCACAAACAATGTGGTAGAGCATCTTCCCACCTAGCCTCCCAGTGAAACCTGCGGCATGGATGGGAGCCCTGCGGAAGCGCTACCTGCCACAGACAGAAGTCCCGGTGCTAAGCATGTCCATGTAATGGTGAGGCAAAATAAGATACCATTCTTAACATCAACAAATGAAACACAAATACTTCCTTCCTATGAGCAAGGATGCGCCAGGGACATCCTTGAGCCCATAAACAGCTAAATGAGATCCAGACAGGGACTACAAGAAGATCTTGATCTACTCAATGTTAAGACCTGTTGTAGGGACTAGACATATTTCTAAACAAATTTATCTATAATTCCTGGATCTATTTAAAAAAAAAAAAAAAAAAAAAAAGAGCAACCCCCCCAAGGAAAAACCAACATTATAATGACTAAAATATTACAGGATTCATTATAGGGTTATATGAGAGAATGATCTCAGTTAAGTGCAAATGACTATAAAAGTAGCAAAGTGCAAAATAGATACAGTTTGGATTTCTCAAGGGGTATTTGAGGAAAACACTTACAGAAACAAAAAGTCAGGTGCTTGAGAAAATGGCAATTAACTTTCCCTTTCAGTTCATATTCCATGCATTAAGGTTTATGTTGTTATTAGAAGCGAATTTAAAAAAATTAGTAACTCCCCCAAGCTAGAAGCATCAATAAGGAGAGGCTGAATGTGGTGACAGGTCTTGAGCATCCTTGAGCTTGAAAATTTCTATGAGCTTAAGAATTTGTGCTTTAAATGAAGATTAGCAGGAACATCAGCAAACTCTCAAGAAACCTAATGCTCCCTAAAGGCATGAAGTGTCTCAACATAACCTCTGCTCTTAAATTTGAACATGACAGATCTACATTGAGGGAAAAGGACACTAAAACAAGGGTTCTTTGGTTTTGTTTAAAGGAGTGTAGAGTTTACAAACATCTTAAAGCCCAGTACAACATCAACCCTTTGGCTCAGTTATGCTTAACTCTAGCTTGCTAAAACATATATTTACCTCTCAGGGAAGGGAAAAAAAAAAAAAAAAACCAAACCAGAAAACCACTGCAAAAATACTGAGCTACATGGAAAGCTAGGGCAAACAGACCATAATGTCTCATGCAATGAGATATGCGCAAGAAAGGATTTAAGTATTCCCAGGGCTGGAGCTGCAAGAGGTGCAGCCCAGTCAGACAGACATGGCCTAAAAATCCACCACCACCTGAGACTGACCAAATGGATAGGAAAAAGCAAGTGGCATTTACAACTAAAAAGAAGTTACTGATGGTGGTTACACTGGTGTCTGAAGCAAGATTAAACTAAAAAAAAGCAAGGGGAACAGGCTGCACCCCAGGGAGGGTAGAGCAGAGGAACACAGGCTTGTGCCTACATCCTCCCTGCACATCCTGTCCAATTTCATTACACCACATCGTAAACAAAAACCGAGTGAGCTGCGGTGTAAGGCCACTGTAACAGCCACACGAGCCTTGCGAAGGCAGGGACCACATTTACTGCAGTAGCTACAACAGGCACAAATGGCACCTCAGTCCCCAGAGCAGGGGAAGACTTCAAGAAACACCCAAGCAGCCACCGGCAGCACAGCAGTGGCAGCGCCAGATCCACAGCCTGGAACACACAGTACTGTCACCAATCACCAGTCCACCATCCTGTTACCCAGTAAACCCTCCTGTAAACATCTCCTAGCTCTAGAACGTGAGTCACCAAAGTGCCTTATGCCAAAATGCCTGTTTTTTTAATTTCAAAGCGTGACTTTAGTCTAGCACAGTTCCTGACCCAGAGGAGCTTCTGCACAGACACCAAATTCCTCCACCATGCAATCCAGTTTCTGGGAAAGAATCCCTAGGAACAGTTATCACATACACTTCAAAGGATACTAAGGATAAAAAGTGCATAGGACAATTTAAAATGGAAATAAAATCCCTAGAGAGCATTCTGAGTACTCTCTCCTGCTAAGTTCAAGGAATGCCTCCATTTTAGGAAAAAAACCCTAACATACTTTAAAAGTGGTATAAGAGAAGCTAACAGTGTCCCTTGGCCATCTTGTATTTTGTATAGCAACTGACTGAACTTTCACTAATGAGTCTCAACGCATCGAGACTGCTGCAAACATCACAGGCTTTCCAACCAGACGGCTGCTTTACACCGCTCAGCAAACACCACTCCTTCCTCCGCTCCTCCCTGAACAATCATGAACCCGCTCAACCACAAACTGTACTGCTAACAACAGAGGTGTACCTGTTGTCAGCGTACGGGCAAGTGTACTTGGCCTGCATTCTCCTTTTGAAACTACAGTATTTTTTTGTTTTAAAATTATTTCTGTCAGTTATTTCAGCATTATTTCAACCAACTACTTGTGTTTCATAATTGATCACTGCAGCATGGATAGGCAGTGCTATGATTGTGCAAGTACATCACACTGCATGGAGCAGACGTCCAGGAATACGCTGGAGTCATTTCCAGAGTTCCTCTGGCTGGCTGTTCACAGGTCGCCCATACTGGCAGGTCACCCTGTAAGATTAACTTGAGTAGGCTTCACTCTTTGATACATTCTCTTTCTTGTTAATTGTTCTAGATGACTCAGTTTAAAGCATATTTTAACACACTCCTCCGGCTGGTCACAAACATTCGATTCTTTTTTCTCAGATGAGCTAACTGGGTCTGTAAGCACCAGGAGCTCTGGAATGACAGACCATTTCCTTTGGGGTACCTTCCCGAGTGCTGAAGCAATTCTGAAAAGTGTGTCTCACCTGCGCATTTTACACACTTTTGAAGCATCAGCCCTAATACTATTTAAAACTACTTTTATTTCAGTGGATAAGACATTTCCTTTTCCCAGTTAAATAAATTTTTGATTGTTCCTTTTTAACATAAGGATTTTTTTTCAAGTTACATTCTACAAGAACAAATGCTGGATCTTATGTTTGCAAGTCTTTTGCTACTGAAATCAGCATCATGCTTTGGATCATGCAGTTGCAACAACCACCCTTCCAACAGCTTCAAAAGAACACACCTGTTGAGCTCCCTGCTGTAGTTTATGCAGTTGAAGCACATAAGAATTAAATCTACAGGATGACTTTGATAATGTCTCAGAAAACATACTGGAGAAAAATCTACTAGCAATTTAGCAGAAATATCTCCACCTTTCAAGTTAACAGACCATGCAAAGACTTGCAGTATTTAACACAAGCAGGATTGACTAAAAGTTATGCAAACACGTAAATGGCATTAGAGCCTATTTACAGTGTAATTAACATCCATGAAGAGTCTATAATGCCCTAGTGTGTGTCAGGATGAAACATGAAGAACTGATACTACTGAGCATCCCACTCAGTAAATGTTTAACCCATTCTTCCATGTAAGAGCCCCAGTTCAGGAGGTTACATGTCAGAGATTGATCTTAAATACCATACTTAGCAAACAGCTTGCTTTCACGGAGCTGCCTGTGCTACACTGAATATTTGCAAAGCTTTGCTATTCTGGAAAGATGTCTGGGCTTAATTTCCATGGACCATTCAGATTTAAAAACATTTAAAGAACCGTATTATTACAAAATGTGTAATTTTGGCTATTAAAAATATTAGACTACTATATTCAAATGCATGGATCACAGAGTGGGGCAAAATTCACAAAATGCCAGAACATCAGTGAATTCTGGAAAAACACCCCACTTTTGATAGCTTTCAGTATTATGGAAATATGATTAGAGATGTTTATACTTTTCACCAGCCTGATGCTGTTAAAGAATTCCATGTGAAACCTCTGAACAGGCTGTATCGGCTTTGTGCAAGGACATCAGTGCTTTAGATTTACATTTTAACAGATCTCTAGGCCACAACAGACAACAACAACAGTGACCTAGTCCAGAGTGCAGGAACATTTGAAACACTAAGCCTTGGTCCCTGCTTGCATGGGCACCCCCAAATCCTCAAACATAGCGAAGCGGCTGCACGGTTC